TGTAATTGTTTCTCATCATCCAATCTGTCATTCAACTGCCCTCCTCCCAATCTGAATTCCCCATGGCACCAAGAACAGTAGCATTCACCACAAAACCAAGCAAATTAATTACACTAGTGATGCATATCTGAAAAATGTGCTAGTGTACATCTCTATGTACAGGTAACCTTAGTCAACAGAGACTTAAATGATACATACTCACATAATATTCAGTTACTTAAAACGTAACACTTTTCACCAATATCCAACTAGACTGTGAGCAATGCTGAAATGTTAAAAAACCTAGATGTTACAAAAATATTACAAGACTCGTTTTTCTAACCTTAACTGATTTCATCCTCTAAGCATTCTTCCTGCACTTCTATCTGCAAGACTGACTTTACTCTGCTATGTACAGAGCAGTACCTATGCATAGTTTCCATGTTCCATCCTACATGGTAGTAATCCTGGCCCACACCCCAGTCTCAGCTTTACCTGTCTTGTGGAAACACCTGTTTCCAAAAATGCACATCAACATTAGGACATACCATAAATGACAGGCTCTGGGATTTTTGGATTCCTGTTTGCCTTGACTGTTCAGAAACCTTCCTATACCCTGCAAGTGACAAGCATCATTTTAGAATATTTCCATGCCTGTAACACTGCACTCTAAGAACTCTCTAGTACAGTGCTTCCACAGAAGACACTAGCTAGCAGCAAAAAACAAATCTAATCTAAAAGAAATACGCCTTAGAGTCTCACAATCTTCATTGCTGAAGTGGAAACGTAGACAAGAGGAAGGGAAATTAAAATGTGCATACACTTGCTTCAAGAAATAGTCTTTCTGTGTTTACTTGTAAGCCTACTTGTTGAGAAAATATCTGTTGATTTCAGCAAGAAAATATCTGTTTATTTTCCCCTCTTTAAGGTTTTTGCAATATCCCAATAACAGTTTTCCCTATAAATCATTGCTCATCTCAGTTACTTCAATATGATAATACCAGAAGAGTTACACACAAGAACATGCATGTATAGCATGTGCAATCTCCAGCTTGCATTTTGTGCTGATTCTATTGCAATGGACTTCTCTGGAAACCAACAATTGAAGTACTTCTTAATTTTTTTTAGAAACTCACTGGGATGTCTACACTCATAATTTCACCAGTCATCAGCCCAAGAAAAAGAACAACAATCCAAATCGCCAAAAATTCAAAAGGCAGCTTCCTCCAACTAAGTTAACAAAACTTGCTTGTGGGAGAAAAATGCTATGATCCCAAAACCCAACTGTCTTCTGGGGTAAAGGAACCTTGGACAATTACATATTGAATATAATCTTTTCATTATATAAATTGAATTTAATTTTTATAAAAACATCTTGATATTTTTCTACCCTCAGAGAAATCCTCTGTTGTAATCGTAGGATGTCCCTGATGATCATACTGAAAAATAAGGTCTGAAACCTCTCTTTAAACTATAGACAAACTGAGAGAATCAAGGGAGCAGTATGATATGAGCACTTCTGTGCAGGAATAAGGGAGAGAAAGCATACAAATGAGCAGAACAGGAGGGGCAAAAAGAATAAAGAATGCTGCAGCCAACCAACCAACCAAGCAGAGGAAACCCAAGAACACTTGGATCTGGTCAATTTTCAGCCTAAAACAATTGCTTTGTAGATCTCCACCCAGAATGAATTTGACAGTGGCTGCAACCACTGAAAATGCTGAAATCAGAATAGCTTTGCAGAAATCAATTGACCTGGGCTGACTGATACCACACAAGAGTCTAGCTTAATGTTACACAGAAACATGGGATTAGATAAGGAAGGCAATTATCTGAGTTACTCTGGATTTACACTATGAAATAAGAAAGTAGACCGTCATCTTCCTGGGTACAGCAAAGATTTCCAAACATTTCTAGCAATAGAGAAATACTTAATATTGAAAGGCATAAAATAAATACATTCTACTTCCTAAATTTCAAGACACTTTGGGGAAATCAAATAAAATGCCTGAAATCATTCCTCTGTTTCTGTCTACTTTGCAAAATTATAAAATATGAAGTATTAATATGAAGTACTGAGATAGTTGGATGGGATCTTAAAGATCATCAAGTTCCACCCCCCCTGCTGTGAGCAGGGACATCTTTCACTAGATCAAGTTGCTCAGGGGCCCATCCTACCTGGCCTTGAGCTCCCACAACTTCTCTGGGTAACCAGTTCCAGCGCTTCACCACCCTCTGAGTAAAGAATGTCTTACCTACACCTAATCTACACCTGACCTCTTTCAGTTTAAAAACATTTCCCCTTGTGCTGACAGTATCTGGCTCCATAAAAAAACCCTTCTTCCTTCTTTTTGCAAGTCCCCTTCAGGTACTGGAGGGCCACAATGAGGTCTCCCCAAAGCCTTCTCTTCTCCATGATGCTTGGTCTACAAGATAGACATTTTTTTTTCCCTAAGAATGAAACTTTTTGACAACCAATGCAAATAATGTTTTTTATCACTATAGAAAAAAAATCTTGCATTTTTCCACCTCAATTGCGTTTATCAAGGAATATTTAGAAGATTATCAACACATATTTTGTTCAAAATCATTAATGAAATATATTTCAGTGCATTTCTAGGGAGTTTTGTCATATGGCTTTGATTTTGAGTAAACATTTTTTTCTGTTTAACAGAGCTCTTGATTAATTATACCAATGGTTAGTTTAAACCATTAAATCTTCATATAAATCACTGCTATTTTAAGAGACAATGAAAAAGAACTTTTTGAAGAGTACATAAATTCTTTACTTTCTGTAGAACAAGACTGGAAGTACAGAAAAGAGTGTTATTGCCACGTAAATACATGAGAACTTTTTCTACATAACTGAATACTGGTGCTTTCTCTCTCTGGCTTGATAGCATACTCATGTCCAGTCCAAAAACTGAGAGTCTTGGCATGTAATGACTAAACAATAAATCCAGTATTTGTCTGCTTAGTATCCATCACTGCAAAGAACTATTATTCAACATGACAACCCTTTCCAATAATGAAGTCTGTCCTATACATGCTCCCTTCTCATAACTTTCATTTCTGGATTGCCCAGGTGCTACAAAGATCACCTTGACTGCCTCACATTCCTACACAGTTATATTAATATTTCAGAGAGAATTGCTTTATTCCTCTCTTTATGGAAGAGAAAAGTCTGTACTGTGCATTCTTCTGGACTTTTTGAGAGGGGGGAAGGTGAAGCAAGGTCTGGACACTGTATACGACATTAGCGTTTCTCATTTACCATCTTTAGCAAATTCTGTCATTTACAGCATGTGATACATCCCTGGAATGTACTGTCTCTTTTTGCCTATAAATTTGTTGCATGAATATAGGAAGATCAAACTGCCCTTCAATTCCTTTCAACAAACTTTTACTCATGATCTAATCTAAAATCTTTTGGTTTTCCTAGGGTGAAAAACAAAGTCAGAGTACATACCAAAATGAAACAACTTTCTACGTGTACTTTCAAAAATTTGGCATTATAGACCTGTTAGCCTTAAAATAATTGACATAATATATCCCTGACAGTAAGGTAACTTTAAAAATTCTCTTCAAGAGCAATGTGCAATGTTTTTCAACACTTCCTTAGATGAGTTCCAGAATGATGGTAGACAAGACCCTCAAAAAATTATCTTCTAAACAGTGAGCATGAACCCACAGTAGTCTAACTATTTATGGAAGAAATGATGCCCTACATTTATGGAAAGGCACTATATTCACCTGGGGAAATAATGACTGACATTTAAAAATAAATGATGAAACACAGGGAAAACAATGACTTTTGCTTTTGCTGCACCTATATGGAAAGAACTGTACATACAAACTGTGGCTCAGTTCCTCCAAACAATAATGGGAAATTCCACAACACCCAATCCACAACATACCAGATCATTCAGTCAAGGTCTCTACTTAATGTTGCCTATAATATTAAGACAATTTTAAGTTAAAATTCTTTACTTCCTGTGCTCTTGACAATTAATAGACTGCCACATTTTCGAGCTTCATCCTAGCTTGTTCACCACAGAACTATTACTGATACTTGAGTAAGTTTAATCTTATTCAATTCAAAATTCTGTGGATGAATTCAGAGACAAATAGCTCTCCTACTACCTACAAGCTTTGGCAAAAGAAAAAACATTGTTCAGGAAAAATCCTTTAATATATTCACTTCAATTATGAAATTCAGGAAGAAGCCCATCCTGATTTAGATACATTGGAAGTACTCCAGATTTAAATTTCAGTTTAGGTCAACATAAAATGATGAATAAAATGTGACTTCTTGTCACATTGCTTCCTCTTTCAGCTGTAAGTAAACATTTTTGCACCTGTAAGTCAAAAATAAATGCCTCCAAACAAGTAACACTCATACAGAATTCACCTAAGACCAATATATCAATTAGTGAAAGAACACTATGAACTCTTAATTATTTACTGCTGTGAAACACATTACATTCTTATTTATAAGGTTTTTCTATTGGTAGCCATCCCACAGATAAACTCACATACACTTGGGATACATCAGTAAAAGAAAAAAGAATAGCAAGTGGTGAGATAATACATTTTACATTAGAATTCTCCTCAAACCTTTGCAACTGAAAGGAAAAAAAATCATAAATACAAAAAAAAAAATTATACATATATTCACACCAAAGATAAATCCATTCCATAAAAAAAGAATCATAAACACAATTTCTTACCTTCATCTTCAAAATTAAAAATAGTAAAATAATTTTCTATTAGTCAGTGAGACTAAAAAGAAGTTTTAAAGTTTGATTATCAAAGAGATAGAAATATTGTACTAAAACACAGTATTTTACTAGGAGCACCAATCTAACAGCATTATTAGCATTTAATATATATTTTGAATTTTAGCTAGTTACTTATTTCCATCGCTGATTTTGCTGTCATCTTTTAGCTTCACATTTCTATTACACAAAACTAATTTTATTATGTAGTTTATACACAGTCTCTTATGTTTATTTACTTACCAACAGTATCACATGGTTCATCCTTATGTACACAGAAATCCTTCCTAGAATCGGGGGTGAAAGAAAAAATGTTAAGCAAGTCAAGCTGTTAGTCGTTAACAACTGTGTAACCTATTTAGAAACAATTTTTACGGCTCAGTGAATAAATACAGAACACCATTATCTCAACAAAGAGCAAGAGGAAGCAAAGGCAGGGATTACACAGATCACTTAAACTCCTGCTTATTCTCAGAGCAAATTTAAGAGAAGTCAGGTGACAAAACAGGTACAGTATATACAAATTGCATTGCACCTCATTTCCAAGTTCTTTTGGGTTTGTGGGGTTTTTTTTCCTTTTTCTGTAAGTATCTTGAAAAGTAACAAGTCTAAATCTAGCCTTCCTACCATTCAAAATGAAGACGTTTCAGTGATTTACATAAGATTCAAACGCAGAGTTTAGATCAGTAATAGAATCAGAAAGCTTTTATTCTAGCAAATCAATGGTTAAAATCACTAATAGGAATATTACAAGAAGAATTTCTGCTAGGGCATCCCCTTATAGTAGTGGAAGACTTATAAAAATTAACTACCTTATCTCCAACACCCATTTTAGTCCAGTCATAGGTCTCCAAATGAGACTCCTCTATTGCATAAAGGAGTTAAATATTTCAACTGTGTCTCAAACATCTGCTTGGGATTCATTTTGATTTCACACATATTTTACTTCTTCTCAGTGATACAGTACAAGTTATTAAAAGAGCAAAAGGAAAACTGCTTTTTACTGGAGTATTTATAAGTAATGTTAATTTGTTATTTTACTATTTTAAAAAAAACCTGCTGAGGTATGCATGAATTGGGGAGGTTGGGAGGGAACCAATGGGGAAAAAAACAACAAAAGAACCTCAGATATAGCAATCCCACAAACAAAGAAGTTCTGGTTTTCTGCTGTGCCACAGCATAAGGGTCTCTGTTTTTAGGGAGAGACCATATGAATCAGAGAAATTTAGCTCTTACATTCTGCCTATGATGGTTCACATATAAGACACATAGATTGATAATGATAAAGATATACATACAGAGAAACACCCATTTTCCAGGAACAAAATGGGAATTGTTTGGTGCTTGAAATGAAACATACTGACACTTATTTTTTTACAAAGTGTATCTACTCCAAGAGCTGTTTCTTTGTTTCGCACAGAGTATTTCTACATAGGGATTTAGACCCAAAAGCAATTTCTAGAGTTTGGCAAATTTCTGACAGTTGTTAAGGGCCACACAGATAGATAAATAGGGGTTAAATAGCTTTTAATTAACCAGTCACCACTACCAGATAATTCCATAGAAGAGAAGAAGAAAGTCTGGGAACACACTCAAAAGGGCCCTGGAAACTGAGCAAAAGGTGATGACCAAGAAACTATAATCAGACACAGAAGAAAGTTATTTTATTTTTTCAAACCTGCAAGAAACTGCATTAATGCACTGGGATGTAACACAGTTCTTTGTTTTGTGCTATGTGACACAAGGGACTTATTGTCTTATTGTCTGTTAAGCAACATGACAGAATGATTAGAAATATGGGATTTGAGGTGAAGCAAGAGAACATGCGTAAAGACAATCTAAGGACATTGATTGCCTTCCACACACACCCACCCAACCACCATAAAATTGATTTATGTAATAATAAGTGTAAAAAAAAATTAAAACAAAGAAAAGAGAAAATAAATAGGTCATACTTTCAACAGTAAAAGAATGCCACGTTACATTTTAAAACTGCCAATATCCAAGAGATTTCTGCTCATGTAATAGCTTTCTTCTCATATACTTACTGAGCTGTTTTTCTTTTGTTTTCATTTCTTGGCTGAATCTGACTATGATTATGTTGTGCATTCAGGGTTTCATTATGGGACTTGGGGGAAATGGTACTGCTATGATTTGGCAAGAGGGAAATACAGTAAACCATTCCTAGTTCCCGACTTACATTGAAGGAATGTAATGCCTCCTTTAATTTCCAGGAATACGAATGCATTACATACATAGGTTCCTTAGTAAAGATTTACAGTTCTAGCTAAACCCGCCAGTGACTCTCACAAAAATAAAGCACACCACTAAGCCCTCAGACAGATTATTTGCCTTCCTCCTTCTCATCTTTTCTCTCAGAACCAAGATATTAAAATTACTGCTGCAGCATATAGAAGCTGTCATGGCACCAGCTGGTAACTGAGTCTATCAATGAAAGCAATAAGTGGTTAAAGCCCACCTACTCCAAGCAGTAAGCAGCACATAATGTCCATTACTCTAAATGGTTACTTTCATACACATGGAAGAGAAAACAGGTCCTTACTCAAGCGAAGGAAAGGAGGAGCTTTCACACTATTTATGCCGAATTCTGCACTTGAATGAATTGGCTAACTCCAGAAAAGGATTCTAAGCAAGGACAGATAACCGCTACTGCATTGTTTCAGAAAATGTTTAGTTAGTAGATTTTAGTTCATTACATATAGCATTAGGAAAGACCTTCACAGCATACAAAGGCAACTTAATTTCTAAATACAAAGTATCTCAGTACATTGTCTTCATTAAAATAAATCCTGATGTGTAGGTGGTAAGCACAACATAAGACAAAAGAACAATAAAGGAAGACTAAATTAAAATCCAGACTTATTTTTTGTGAATTATTTCCAGTAATTTATCATTTTAGAAAAATTTAATACTTGTTTTTGGCAAGCCAAAATATTCAAAAGATCTATTTTTTACTCAGGTTGGTGTATCATTTCTTTCTATGTGCTAGATTGGAGAAAAGAAGAAAAAGGAGAGGTAACAGATTATACCAGTCTACCAGATCTTCATTCTGGTTTCACTCTACTCCAATTTCTCTAATGTTTGTATTTCTGAAACATGTAGGTAGCTTGAATGACAGCAGAAGTTAGACTGCCGTTTCAAGCAGTCTAACTTCTGCTGTTATTGATTCCAGGGTTTACAACATTTTTGAAGCTTATTGTTTAAGTAGTAAGTTTCATCAAATCATAAGATTTTCATATGGAATAGTTGCAATTAATGGTACTTGTGGCAAGTGGCATTATCATCAAATTGCAAATGCCTTCACCTCCATTGTGCAAAGTGAATAACTACAACGATGAAGATGTTCTTGTCTCTTCACGTAAAAGGACATTCTGAAATAATTCTCACATATAAACCAAGCACACATGTACTAATTAATAAATGTACTTTTAAGGACAGTAATTAAATTTAAAATTATTTTATGTTATTGAACCACAAGAAAAATTACTTATTTACTATTAATTTGGGAATTTAAATAAATGGAAAATGGTACTAGTGTAAATGGTATTTCAGAAACTGTTTATTATTTTGAGCACAAATCTGAAAGGCACCAATATGTACTGGTCAGTGTATTTTAGGAAAAACAGGAAATAATATATTTAATTATTTCAAATGGTTAACACATCACTTAGGCTCTGTAAAGCTGAATTGAGATAAAAAGGGTGATATAAATAATCATATTATTATTATTGTATTATAAAGCTCACATTTCAGCCAGACTGAAAATGAACAGTTTGGAAGTGTGATAAGTAAACAAAGAGCTGAATTGAATGTATCATTAACATATTGAAAAAGAGACAGTGTAGTTAGGAACCCAAGGAAGGTGCTTTTGAGGGGAGTCTAACGAGACTTAGCATTAGCATTAAACAACAATGCAGAAGAAAACACAAAAGCATTCCGGGTAAAGTTTAAAAATTAAATGAGTTCTGATAGATACACATAGGAATCAAGACAGATCAAATTTTATAGACAACTCATTTGAGTAAATTTTCTTCTAGTGTAGCCTTAAGTGGCCTCCCAACCTGATCACATGAAACAACAAAAATGAGTATTTGGAAACAAGCAGTAGAAAGAAACAGCATCCCTGGATAAAGATATAGGAAAATATCAAAATGACACCACTACCTCTGTTCACACAATATAGTGGTCAGTTTTGGTGCTTATGCTTGAAAAAAAGTGGGAAAGGTCTGGAAAGAAATGAGAGAACAATTACATAGAGTAACCTCTGTAAATTACTCTGAGACAAAGAGCTGTGACTTCAGCAGAGCCTACCAGTGTTTTCATAGGGAGGAGTTTTCCAACAGATTTCAGCAACAAAGGGTAGAAAGTGTATGGTTGAAAGCTGAAGTATGAAAAATTAGAAATAAGTCCAACTGTCCATTCAGTAAGTAAATAACTGTGCCAATAATCAACTGCTAAACAGTTAATCTTCCTTTCTTTCAAATTTTGTCTAAGACTTGCCTACCTTTCTTAATCACCAGGAAATTAAAATGTAAAAATAACTGTCTAAATTTTATGCTTGGGCCTTGCACTAGATATTCGGAGATTTAAAATTCAGTTTAAGTCCATGCATTCCTACGGAACAGACCCGTACTAGTGAATGGAACATACGTAGCCTAATTATTAGAGCTTGAAAGAGTAAACCTGCAGCAAAAGGTAAATTCATGCATATTTTTCCCACACCCATTATTACAAGCATTATCACTTCACAGACACAAACATCTTAAAAATGAAAAAACCAAAAGTGCATAAGATGACAAAATCAGTGGGATTTTTCAAAATACACAAAGTAAAAATACAGGACTTCAATTTTACAGGAGATTCTGGCTCAAAAAAAAAAAAAAGTACAAAACTTTTTAGTTAAATATGCTCTTTTCAGGTTTCCCTACTTTCTTCTGCATCTGCAATCCTATTACTAAATAATTAGCAGAAGGGCCACATGAGATTCTCATGAACTTCCTTGATGCCTGCTGGTAGTGTCAAATAAACCAAATTAGCAAGAGAGTTGATAAATTGAGTACCAAATGATAAAGAGAGTTGGCAGTCACAGTGATGAAGACAAAATTAAGAATAATCTTGTCTCTCACCGTGCATTTGCAAGAATTCACTTTTCTAAAGCTGAAATCCACTAGGAGTTTAAGGACAGCAGTAGCAGTTTAATAACCCAATCTCTATCTTTATATGCTTCAGCAATTTTGACTGCCAAACACACCAGGCTTTTGGGGTG